TCATTCTTTAGAATCAAGATTTCAAGGAGGTAGGTTGTGTCTTTAGTCTGCTCAAAATTTCATATTTTTTTAGACCCAAATACAGCTTAGTTACTAAGCTTGATAAATTATTGTGGAATTATATGGTATCGATATAATAATTTTTTGGCTATTGAACTGTATATATATAAAACCCCAAAAAGTTATTTCATTTCATATCATCCCCACTTGAAATTTTAAAAGGCTTAGCAACCTATGTCAAGCAGCAACTGAGTACAAAGGTCGTAACTAGAACAGATAATTGTTTGCTTTACTTCTTCATTTACTGTTTTATGTTTTAAGAAAAATAAGTTTAAAACTTATTTCTAAATAGTAATAATTTATATACATATATAATAAGTGAAATGTGACTGTATTTTACAAAATACTAGTCTACTAAAACTCAGCCAATACGAGTCACTTTGTAAAGACTAAAGGTCAGTTTTATACTATTGGAACACGGTAACATAAGAGCACACATTTCGCATCATTGTAACTTTTGTAGTTAGCCGGGCATGGCTGAAAGGTAAATATAATAAAAAGAATAAATATAGATAAATTTATAATGATACGAGATTTAGTCTATCTAGTTTAAACATTTATATTTTTGTGTTATAATTTGTTTTCATTCTAGAACGAAAAAGGCGTAATTTGCATTTATTTCCTAATTTTTTTATGGTGTTTAGAAGATCAGTCAAATCTACCGAACCTGTACAGAGATTTGTTAGTGAAAATAACAAATAAAATATAATGTTTTTTTTTCTTAAGAAATGTTTGATAACTATCTGGACATTATAAAGATTTTGCATGTGCAATTTGAAAATTTTCTGATACATAAAAGTATTTTTAGTCTTAAAATGAAAATTACTTTGCATGTTGGATAGGCAACATACACAGAGAAAAAAAAAAGGCATTAGAAAAACATTGCTTAACAAACCTTAAGACTTAATAAAAAAAATGTGATACCTTGTGTATAATAGCACTGTCATGTTTAATGATAATATGCCAAATTTTTTTAATGTACGCTTACTAATTTCAAAGACATAGCATGAAAATTATAACAAGCACAAAACGGTTACGATATATATATATATTGTTAAGACAGCGGAAGTTATGTGATGCTGGTAACACGTGATGAGTTTCTAGAAGATTCACAAAGAGACGAGATGTACGTTTTTTGTATATATAAGACTGGTACGAAGTGACGGGAACAATGGAATTGAATTGCAGACAGAGACTGACAATTGAGTCAAGCACAGTAAAGTGCGTGAATCGTTTGTTGTGAATTATAGCGTTTGTTTAAGTTAAACTGACTGTGGAAATTAAGTGTATTGCTGAAGTTTTTCGGAAAGAATTTCTGCGGAAAATTAACCAACGAACAGCGACATAACAAATTGGTGTCAGAGAGTGGGATGGAAAATAAAGTAAAAAAAGAAGAAGAAGATGGAAACGAGAGGTGGCAAATCAAACTACAGCTTAGCAGATTTGATGGCAGCAATACAAGAACAAGAAAAGAAACAAGAAGAGAGACAACAGACAGTTG